TGAGAAACCGGCACTGCAGAGGTGCGGGCATGCCGTTTACGTCAAATTTTTCAATTAACTAGGTCTTCCGTTTTGCATTTTTGTTCTCGAGGCTGCTCGCTACGGGTCTATCGCTCTCGACCAGGCCTCATGCGGCGCATCACAAACTTCAGACGCTTCGCACACGTCTGTTTCATCGTTGACTCATCGCAGCACGCTCAACTACAGAACTACGGTGGTCTGTGGCTGCAGCAAGCGACTGAGTTCTCCATTCGGCACCCCGGTAAAGCTTTCAGATGGTGACGGGTGCTGACCTACTGGACCGCGCAGTTGTCGCCATGTAGGCTGCTAGTGTGACGTCACAACCTTTACCTCTGGCGGAGAACGTCAGCTGCACGTTGCATTTCCGATGCCGTTTGAGCGTTGCTTTGCCAAACGTCTGCTCACCCAGTGGCTGCGCTCCGAGAATCCCGCGTCGCAGGCCGTTGGACACGGCAGCCTTTACGAAAATTTGGCCGCTTCCAGCGTCTATTAGGGTTTGGACCCTGGTTCTTGCCTTCTCTCCACATAACCACGCTCAAGAACTCATGGTCATGAAGGAAATGTCAATTACCCGTAGATGTATCCAACGGTTCAGGTAAACCCACAACATGCGCTACAACGCGGCAGTATCTCTTCAGTAGTGCTCCTTTAAAGCCGTCGTATTAAATTTGGTCTTTTTCCTTGAGATGTGAATACATGTTCCAGGATTGTCTGACGGGCAATACACTTTATTGTCCATTTGTCCCCGGCTCAGCCGCTGGTAAAAACTACCCATTTGAGTTAGATCTGGCTGGAGCCCAGACCATCCATGTAATCTGCAAAAGATGGCAGCTGGGGTGTTTGGTTCCTGCAGCTTCAACTTCGTTCGTCCTCCTTTATTCTGCGTAGTCGTTTTCATCTCCCAAAAAATTCGTTCAAAAAACGAGTTTTGCACGTCTCAATCAATATGCAACGCTATGTGCTTTACCACGTATTAAGAGCTCTTTGTTCTCACGCCGACAGTAACTGATTTTCAAGATATCAGTAAAAACTAGTTACACGACATTAGCAAACAAACATGGTTGAATTTTCAATACTCGACGTTTCAGATATCTTATAACCAATGTTTGTTAGACAATCTTGTTTAACCAGTACCTCCTCACACCAAAACCTCCTTGGAGGCCGGTAACGGTCGGCATTAGAACTCTAATGCATTATGTCGAACAATCAGGAGCTCAATGCCTTTCTTGCTTACATCAAGAGCCTGATCAGCTGGCTTCACCCAATTGGCCTTCACATAGCCTCGCAAACCACAAGTGTTCTTGCAAAAGAAACCCTAGAAATACGATTTCACGCTACTGACATCGTTAAAGCATTTGCAGTCTGGTGCAAATGTAAATCGTGCAGTAAGGCGGGCCTTTTTATAAGCAACTGTAAAACAAGCTCTTACTAAGCAATCCGCACGCGCACAAGTGCACTACTCCTAGGGAAACACGTGTATCGCGTCTGATTCTGTTTGTCGCACCCGCGCAGCTTCCTGGCAGGCAAAACACAAGAAAGACCGACGCTTTTGTGTTATGTTATCGTCGCTACGAGACGTGACGTGGTGCCTGCCGTCGCGAGCGCAGCAGCGCCAGGACAGCCAGCGACGACAGCGAGCGCGGGAGCGGGTCGGTCTGCCACCCACGCCGACGTCCGGGAGGAGGGGCCAGCGTGCGTGTCGCTCGGCGCGAGGCGCGACGGCGTATCAGCTGACCCGACTGATCGCCTGAGGCGGGGTCGCGACCCTTTGGTGAAGCTGCCCTTGTCGGTGAGGGCCGCTGCGGCAGCCACGCGCGGCCGCTGGCTGGGTCGTCGTGCTCTGCGGTCGCAAGTACTTAAACGCCGAGCAGTGCGAAACTACGATGCATTGCTCATGTTCACTTGTCGCTTTATTCCTCCCCGCATACATCAGTCGAGTGCCAACAGGGCAATCGATCTTAAACGTTTGACACTCAGAATGGCAGTAACCTTCATATGAGACATCACAAAAGGGAGCCCTCATACCGTGTCACAAGTCATCAATTTCTGCAAATTTGTTTGCACTGCGCGTTGAGCGATGTGATGTAATACAAACCTGCGGGAAGGAGTCGACAAGAAGACGTTTTGCTGACCTCAGCAAGTGTAATGGTCACGCTTTGGCTGCCAAAGCGTTCGGAACTTATGAGGTACACGTCAACCGAATCCCGCACCAGGGGACTGTCAATAGACGTAGCTCTGGCTGGGATACTGCTGGTATCCGTTGCCAAAAGGCCGCTGGAAACCACCAAAGCCTCCGCCAAACGTCTGCTGGTTGGAGACGGCATTGGTGTTCGAGAACCTCTTGTTTCCGAACAGTCCCGAAGAGCCGAAGTCAGAGGCGCTGGCAGCATTTCTACTGATCGCATTGCCTCTTGCCGCACCCTGGAAGGCCCAAAGTGACTTAGCTAATGCATCAAAATCGTCAGCTGCCCGGTGTATCCAAGGGTACAAGACTAAAAGGAAAATGTAAGGGCCCCGCGTAGTATTGTGTCGTTATGCTTCGAACTTCCTTAGCTTCCATCCAACCCAATCCGTCTCCGTGCTCGCTTTTAATGTAAATATGGTGCAAATGTCTGACGGATTAAGCAATGTTGTCACCAACATTCGCAGACCACACTTTCGATCTATCTGACGTAATAGTTAAGTCCTTGCCAGGCGGCGAGGCCCTGTACGATTTTTGTTCTCTTACCGAGGCGGTGGCGCTGACTTGTGTGATCCGGGAGTTCTGGAAGGGACCGCCGCTGACCCCAGACACCACATTGCCGGCGGCACTTCCGGTCGCCTGGCTGTTCTGACCAAACAGACCTGGGAAATAGCCCTGCGGGAACGCAGCGGCGCCAGCGACCACGCAGAGCAAGATGGCCACGGTCTTCATAGTTGGAGGGAGCTGGAAGCACCGCGATGAGTTATGATCGAATCTAGCCCGACCAAGCAGCACTCGTTGCCTGGATTTCAGATAAAATGCATCAATTGAGGGGAGAAGGTCACTTTGACTGCCCAACGAGGTCAACTCCAGGACAGAACAGGACAACTTCAGGCGGTGCTAGAAGAAAGTTTAGCCATCGTTAGATGACCCGTTGCATAAAGGTCGAAGTGTATGGCAATAACCCAAATCAATACTACGAACGGATTCGAATGGCGGTATGCTGGGTGCGCTGCTTAAACAACGGGTTGCTGCGCAACCCGTTGCTATTGTGAAGCGACCACTTACTTTCTGTCTTTTCACCTGGAGATCTTGCCGTGGTCTGCAGTCCCTGTGCTGGGCTCTTGCTTTATATGCAGGTCCACGGAGCGGACGCCGCTGGCCACGCGGGAAACCCTCACCCCGGCGCCCCTGGCCATTATTGGAACAACTCCGCCAGCGTGAGTGGTCAAGACTCGCAAGGGCTTCTGCCAGAGATGTGCATGGCTCTTTGCAACCAAACCCATCAACGTTCTGTTTGGCGGAAACGAGCAGCTTTTCGCGTACTTGAAGCAGACATTTTGCTGCGAGATGACCACAGCATACAATGCATGTATACTTATCTCCGAGCGTTGCATGAAATGGCGCGCGTGGCTACTCTCCAGCGCCGGAAATGAGAATGCATATCGCGGATGATGCAGTCGATTTAGTGAGGGTTTAGAAGGAAACAAAGCTGGCTTAGCTTACGGACTTCATCACTGGGTAAGGAATCCAAGAAATCAGCACCAGGAGGTGCGCAAGTTCCCATACACCATGCTAGTATATTTTTGAAAGTAGCTATCAGCACAGCATACGGACTTAAGGTTAGACTACCTCTAGGGATATGGTAATTGTTGCTTAATGACATCAATGCCGTCCTTTCACCAGCTAAGATCCAGCCTCAGTGTTTCAAGACACTGCTTGACTTTTAACAACTATGCCCCATGACTACCCGACTGGCATCACTTGGTGCAGCCACTTCGTTGTTTCAGTAATTGTAACTCACTTTCTCTTGTATGCGTGCCAGCGTCATGAAACTATTCATTGAGAGCAAGGTCTATTTATTTTCACCAGTAACCTTAGCCACCTCGGTTTGAAACGAGTACAAAAGGTAATTGTCCTGCCCAATATAGTTTAGCCCACGTATGACTAACAGCATTTCGTTAAATTTCCGGTGGGGTGATGTCTTAATGCACGAATTTTTCTTAACAGTGCTCTATACCATTGGCCGTCTTGGCAAATCAGGGTTTCCTCGTGATGAACGCTTTCCAAGAGCCGACAGAACTGAGTGTCGGGCCCAACCCCGGTGCTAGACGGTCGCTCTCGCGAAGTAAGCCTTTCCATGAGGGATGAGATGCTCTCTAAGTCAGGCGCATTGAGAAGCAGGTTAAAGTGAATGGTCTACATTGAATACTATGAAAGCAAGCATCAGATATGATGAAATAAGCTAACTTATAACTAATGGTTTACTTCTAAGTAAAAATAATCCTCCAGAAAATACAATTTCTCTCTTTAGTACATATACTCCTGAATACCCCGTTGTTTCATTGCGTCAGATGGCATTTCAGTTTCAGAAGCCTACAACAACGTGAAACAATCCCTTTGAAGCTCAATTTTATTTTCATACCTTATCAAAACCAAGAAGAATTTTCCGAATGAGTTGGCTGGCTTCACAGCAAAGCAAACTGCTATCGTCGGCGGTACATGGTTCGACTCCGTCGCATGGCAGCAGAACCAGCGGGGGACAGATGACAGGTTTCTGATCTGCTCTTTGGCTGGGCCGTCGTGGTTCCAGTGGCGCCATCTGGCAGCACGTCGGCCAAGCTCCACCGACGGAGTTGTTCTAACATAACAGCGGACCTTGGGTTAACTCCAGTTAGGAACCGACAAGTGTCGTTCTAACATAACATCGGACCTTGGGATAACCCCAGTTAGAACTGAATGAGATATCGTTAATTCCCATAATCGATGCTATTCAAATCTGTGCGACCTTTTTAGAAATTTTAGTTCAACATTGAGAAAAGCTTTTCTATGGGCCTCGTAAAGGCGGTAGCTCATTTAGGTTTTACGGCAACAATTTACTTATGACTGTGTTCCATTTGGTGCACGTGCTAGCTGTCATATTATGCACGCCATTGTGCCATCTACTTTCCAGTTTTGATTGAATTCGTCGATATTTGAGTGCCTCAGCTTCGTCTCTGAATAGCATGAACAAGGTAAGTGATTATATCATAGCTCAATAAAGACTTAGTTTATGTTTGATGTTGAATTCGAACTTCATAATTGGCCAAGCACATGTCTTCTAAACAACTGTTATGTGGAATACAACATGGAGGATATCACAATAATGCTGTGAAATTGGTCCGATATCATTCAATAGAATATAAGGATTCATGAAGCCGACTCAGCGGCATACCATATGAGAAAAGAGTAGCAACTGGCTGACCCGGATAACTGACTACGGCAATGAACACCTTGTACGTGGCATTACAAAATTTTAAAAACTTTCGCAAAGTCTCGCTCAAAGTCCACTTTTGTTTCATACCGTTTACCATCACTTTCTTACGCAAGCCGCCTGACTGAGCTTGAAGACATCTCCGGTAAAAGCGACTCTTAGAAAGCACCTTCAATGAGGTATAACTTGTCTACTAACAGTCAAAGCATTTTAAGATGTTTCAAACCACTTATCATGCACCTATTCTGCGCGATGGAAACAGCAGTCCTCTATTGCCTGTAGATATAAACAACCTTAGTTATTCGCACCTTCAAAAGTCGATTTTTGCCTGCCAACTGCAGTGCCTCGCAAGTCAAGTAAAGGGGGTGCGAAGGGGGGAAGGAGGAGAGCAGAGAGACAGTAGGAGAGAGAGAGAGAGAGAGCAGAGAGAGAGCAGAGAGAGAGAGAGGAGAGAGCGAGAGAGAGAGAGAGAGAGAGATAGCGCGAGAGCGAGAGAGAGAGAGAGAGAGAGAGAGAGAGAGAGCGGCGAATAGAGGAAGAAAGCGAGCGAGAAGCGATAGAGAAAGAGATCTACATCCCTCTATCTCTCTCTATCCTCTCCATCTCTCTCCCTCCCTATCTCTCTCTCCTCTCTCTCTCTCTCTCTCTCTCTCTCTCTCTCTCTCTCTCTCTCTCTCTCTCTCTCTCATCTCTCTCCCTCTCTCTCTCTCTCTCTATCTCCCCTGGGTCCCGTTTGCTCACAAACCGGTTTTGTCCTCTGATGACGCTCTGCTCCCCCGGATGCTGGGATTCCACTGGCGTGTTGACATCGAGTCAGGCCACGCATACAAAGCACAAAATGGAAGCCAATAATGATTCATGAGTAAGTTTAATCACGCACCAGGCACAGCCGGTCACTAAAACCCAGATAACAGGAGCAACGAAATGATGTAAGCGTGTTTTAGGTACCTCACATTAAAATTTCAGGTAACTAGCACTGTGAGAATTTCAGTTGACTCACATTCTAGCTTATCAAAATTAGTCGATGCCGTTTTGCATTACGCTGGCTGAAATCCGTGGCGTTGACATTGTATTGACTGCCACGGCTACAGCCCCCCCCCCCCCCTCACCACGCCCACATACACGTCAGTACCCCAGCGGGCGTCGTCGGCTCCGCAGTGGAGTGGCGATGTCCTCTGATGACAGCACGCGCCGTGTTAGTTCCCGCTCGGCCTCGGTGACGACTGTTCAGTGTGGAGGGAAGGGAGAGGGGTTCGCGTTATAATGCCAGCATTAACCAGACTTGTATGCCACTGGCTGACAGCATGATTGACAGACAGCTGCATCATTCCTCACATTGCTTAAAATGGAAGATGTGGTTATCCGGCGGCCAGTTATGATGCATCACCTTCAGATAACGACGGTCAAAGGTGTTCGGTGCACAGGTATTTGACCCAGTGTATCAAGCTCCCTTAATGGCAAGCCTTGCACTGCCGTTCATACGTGTCCCCGGTCAGCAATGATATTTACTTGGCATTAAAACGACCGAAATCCACCAGCAATCTGGTGTCATGGAGAAAAGCATTGCTCTATGATCCAAAACTTCTTCACGGGGAAAACACGGCCGGGAAGAAAAAAGCTGACGTTTTTGCCAAAGTGGTCTTCACCAATTGACACCAGCTCCCTTGACACATTTCGATCACCACTGTAAAATGCTTAATCCTTCGACCAAAAATGATATAGGCGATAAGTTTACCTGGCGGAAAACTGAAACCGTGATCCAGTCTACACACAGCTGGTCGGATGCACCTTAACTGGGGATGTTTCCTCTGCGCCATGCCCCCGCATACGGCCATAGACGAGGAGCCACAGGAGCAGCGCCGGCGATGATAGGATACGGGGCAATGGGTGGTCCTCCTCCCCCCTCCGTAGGCGATCGCTGTCACCGAAGAGGTGAAGGATGTGCAGCACAAATCATATTCTCTCAGATTTTGTTTATCTGCGTGCGGCATATTTTTGTGCACCATACTCTAGGTCTACTTGACCATACTTACATAACTCGGCTGAGATAGCTCTCCGGGCTATCCTCCCTCGGTGTGTGTCAATATCTGCCACAAGAACTGTCTTGTGTGCTTGTACATATGTTAAACATCACGTTCGTTATACTAATACCCCGTCTAGATTACCCAAAAAATTGCTGCACAAGTCGCTTATGTTTGCTGCATCCGTAACAAAGGCGAATACGTGGGACATAATTATGATTCTAGATTCAAGGTAACGGTTTGGTTCGCGGGCGTTTGTCTCGCTACGATCCCGCGTGACCCAAGGTCACGACTTGCCGATTGCCATCGTCCTCGGAAGCAGCGTGGGGCCATCAGGGGGAATGGAGAGTGTAGCTCTACGAAGCGAAAAGCAGATGTCACGATAAGCGGACGCTGGCGAGGCTGGGCGGATTTTCCCGAGGTCAGGGAAGGGAGGAAACGGAGTGAGCGAAGGGGAGCGAGGGGGAATCGGGGCGAACGCGCTCAGTCTGGATCCACCGGTGTACATGTTTTAGCATGCTGACTCATCGTGATGAGTCTTCAACGACCGAAATATCGCCAAGCTGCCACAGTGATCTTGTGGCGAGAAGGGCATGACAAGGTTTGGACGAATGAGAGGGGCAAGGACGAATGAAAGGATGATGCGCAAGCCGCGATGCAAGGTTTGCGAGACAAGTAGTCGCCAGATAAGATAAACCTGCATTTTTTTATTTTGGCCCATGCCATACGAGCAGTTTTTTGATAGGGTATGGAGTAGGCTGCAGGGCGCTCGAGATACAAGCTCATAGTTTCGCGGAGAGACAATCCCGTTGTAAACTTGCTAGTTTCAGTGGAGAGAAATCGCGGGATGAGCACGGCTTTTAGCTCACGCCCAACACACTGAAGAAATCTGTACGCCGCAACTGTAAACACAATCATACGGTGACTTAGCTCTAGAACAGGATAATTATAACTTACACAAGACACAAGGCACTAGAGGTCCCAGCAAAAAAAAACATAAGCCGATTGCATCAGAACAAAATTAAGGTGGAACTTGGGCCTTTAGCGGTGATTTTGAGTCACTGCCAGCTATGTACCTAACATATATAAACAAATCTCGAATGAAGCACATACGCTCAATGCAAGCATGTGTTATGTTTTCAAGTTGGCGAATATGAACAGGTGTAATGTAAATCAGCTCCCGCAAAATACAGTGACTGTCAGCCACTGCAAGATGATTCAGACAAGTCGCCTTCCGCAGAAGGCAGTCAGTGCTAAGTTTCGATTGGAGCTCATGTTAGCATGTGATATCATGTTATCATGGGACTCCCAAGTCCCAATGCATCGCTTCCGTCCGAGGTCAAGACATGCAACGGCTTAAAACGCGCCAGCAGTTATTTTCAGCCTCATCGAATCTTATCCACAAGTGATTCGAAACTTCTGCCCGGATGAGTTTGTCAACACGTTTGCTCTAAGTAAGTCACTGAATAGGCTGCGCCAACGTGACAACGATTTTTAACACGCACCAAGGCGTCCGGCTGAATACGACGTCTCTCGGGTGGGGGTCAAAGTCAAACTCCAGATCGATGGTCCAGCTTTCGCTAAGACTTTACGCAACCAACTTGAAGCTGGACACCTTTACTAAGCAAAACGCCATTGGTGTTCATTTCAGGTATGTGACTGTATTAAAACTTCAGAAGGTCATGATGACCAAAACCTGCGAGATTGTTCTGATTTTTTCATCTCAATCAGCGTCAAGGATCACGCCAGTCCAAAAAAGATGATCTGGGTCACTCTAGCTTAGTGAGCTCTTCTAACCTTGATCAAGCTCAAATAACACATTTGTGGCTTCCGTCAGCAAGAACTTCAAAATGAGCGTCAAAAACAACCCCCACTACGTAAGGTCTCTTTAAGAAAACAATAGGGTTTTGACCTCGACCTGACTTTCATGCCTGACCCAAGGTAACAAAGTTAGGAGGTAATCCTAAATTCAATCGTATGGTTAGAAGGAACCCGTCTCAGAGACGTACTGCTATGTCCAGCACTCCGTTGTCGCATCAGATTAACCGATATCTTTGGGATTGCATTCGCTGACAGCATGGGTTGACCTTGACCTTCCATAGATCAGCGACTATACAAGATAATTCCATTTTTAAGCCAAAAACATCAGGTATTTTAATTGGCTAAAGCTATGAAAAGTTTTGGCAATTATGTTGAGAAACCTTTGGGTGGAAAACTGATCTCACTTGGGCGCGTTTTTTAAGCAAGTATTCGCATGAGTCATTTGCTCGAATGGTACCAGGCATTACACATTCATTCTGCGCATCAACTGCCGGAGGCCAGAGCTGTTTACCACTCACCAGCGCGGTTTTTGCGCCATGCCGCCTCTCCGACCCGAGCGATGGCGGAGTTCACAGTCGGCTGCCTTGACTCTGCTGCCGTTCCCCGGCGTGGCAACAGATCTTACCGGCCAGGAGTGATCCGGAGGTAAACAGCCTGGGGCTATTGGCCTGTATGGGCCGGCGCCGGGTTTTCCAGAGGTTATTGACTCGAGGCTGAGCGAAAGGCGCACACACGAGCGGCCCGGCCGGTCACAGAGTCAACTCTTCAGGCCTCAGCGTGAGTGGGCCTGAGCTGTAGGAGGCGTTCAGTCGAAGGGCGGGAACGTTAGAAATCCTCGTGACTGGACCACGGGGGAGAAAATCGATGAGCAACGGGCCGGTGCAAGGCTGGTCTTCTGGTCACGCAATGTCTACGGGCTTGGCTAGCCGGGGTAGACCTCCAGTTTGGAGTGAATCAGAAAATGAACGCCCGGCGCATGTCTTGATTATACCGATATGGGAACGGAAAAGCAAAGACCTAATCTTCGCGGCATAATATGTGTGTGTGACATATATATATATATATATATATATATATATATATATATATACATTTATATGTGTGAGCGTGTATGTGTGTGTGTGTGGTGGTGTGTGGGTGTGTGTGTGTGTGTGTGTGTGTGTGTGTGTGGTGTGTGTGTGTGTGTGTGGGTGTGTGTGTGTGTGTGTGTGTGTGTGTGTGTGTGGGTTGTGTTTGTGTGTGTGTAATTTACGGCATGATGATGCTATGTGATTTGATGCCAGTATGGTTATAAAGCGCCCGTAATGCACGTAAATAACCCGATTGATTTGTAAGGGGTTTTATGTCGTACCAAGTAGAGGTATCTAGCGGATTCAAAAATTTTGAAGCCGCTAAAAATTTCCAAAACTCATTTTGGAGATTGGACGGGCAGGAAAGGGCATGGACGGACAATCCTTGGGATTTTGCGCACAGCCAATATTGTTCTCTCGCGTTGCAGTGTTTTGCACCTTGACTTGTTTAAGCAGATACACGTCACTTACGCACGATATTTCTTTTCTATTCATTCCATTTTCGTGAGTGAATGCAACGGCACAAGTAGTGATTGGGGTAAGTGGATAGGGTAAGAGTTATTTGATATGACGAATTTCAAAATTTTGAGGAACTTGATCATTTACACGCCTTTTGGACGGACAATTGTTCATCCTTGGACTATGGATTGGACTTTAATCAAGAACTTCCATAAAACGGCACCTCTGGTACTTATGTTAGTAAATGAGAGTGTCGTGAACTGAGATCCTGCATTCCATAATTCCTCGAACGTGGAATAACTCTGTGTATCGGCTGACACAACTATGGCATCACGAAATAAATTTGTTTCGTTCGATGCAGGAATAGTATACAACTGAATCCGGCACCATTTATTCTGTATACAGGTAACGGTTTGCAGTCAGGGGTACACCACTAAGACCTTCAGTAAGATCCATGCTTCATACCGAGCCTATGTGTTCCGTTTGTTGCGTACCTTTGATGCGACACGGGCTGTCCGATTGTCGGCGATTAGCTTCGAACGTATGGAAGTTTGCCTTGTGAGTTCAAAAGAACTATTCCCAGTTCATGCAAACATTTTCTGACCGTGCGCACTAAAAAAACGCACCCTAAGTACCAATTCTTTGGCATCACACGTACGTATTGTGGGCCCGGGGCATCTTTGAAACGCGACCAGAGGACAAACAGCTGAGTGGCATGGCATGACTAATAAGCGGAACAGCAGCAGTTGTAACAGGCGCGAGCATTGGCTCTCTTGCCGGCATATTACGAAAATCAAAACGAAAATCATTTTGGTTTTGGAAGCACACCTCCAGTCTGCACTCGCAAGACTTGTGGGTTGCATTACTCATTGGCTTAGCTTGGTGTTGGTTGCGAGAAAATCTCTCGTTTTCAGCATGCGTCGGTTGTGATTTTATATGTAGCTCAGCCGCGGCTCTGCCGACTATGCTGCAGTTAAGGAGTGCTCGACAATTGCATGGGGTTTTGAACTAAAACAGCCATCTTGGAGATCATTCGCTGCAGTTTACATCCCTGCCTTTAAGACGAAAGCCCTCTAATTTCTGAGCTATACGTCCCCAAAGATCTGCACAGTATTTCGGGAAGAGTTTTTAAAGGTCACCCAGGCATCCATCACGCCATAATAAAATCAGTCACGTTCTGTCATTCCATTGGCCATGTGCTGATCAAGGCTAAGAAAATATAAATATCCAGTTTTCCATATCTGGTGTTTGTGAGCACGATTTCCAGATATATCGGCCTTCCAATAACTTTCAATTATTGTTATGCAAGGTATGATGACGCAATCAAACAATGAAGTTTTTAAGGGCATATTTACCCATAGGAGAAATGGCGTTGTCTAGAGCAGCCTTTTCCAACGTCATGTCTGATGTTTGCATCAATATCTTCAAATGTGGAACAATCTCTTATAATCTAGATAATATAAATAATATAATATATCTTATAATCTGTTAAAATAAGGATCTATTTCTTGTCAACATCGCCGCGGATTTTTCACATTTCAGAGTGGGCCCAGGCCCACCCGAATCGAGTTATCCTTGTGAAAAGATCCGCAATTTGAGAATATCTGGGACCTGAATAGCTAGAGCGATAGCAAATCTCACGAGCCTGAGGCGTGGGCCCTGTGTCAACTGTGTCAACTCCACTGAGCCCTGTGTCAGCTCTACCATTCGATCGTGAAATGTCGGGCCAAAGGCACGATTTTGTGACGAAAGCTTAGCGTGCCGCAGCGGTAGGCACTACTCATATCCTGCGTTCTGAAGCCACCTGACCTTTGGTGCGTCCGCTGCCACCGGCCACGGCAGCCATTCCAGTCAGGGACAAAAAAGCGAGCGCTTAAGGCGGCTCGAACTCACCCAGCCACGGAAAGGTGGTGGGAGGGTGTGGGGGGGGGGGGGGGGCAGTTCAGAATGCAGACATTCCAACCTGCTGTTCAATCGTGGCGCACAAAGTGCGCACAGCGCCACATTTGTACATACTCCCACAATCATCATAATACGCATCAGACGTATATAGTGAATTAGTGAATACGCACCATATAGTGAATTGGGCTACAGGATCAGCGAGCTTGAATCATTCATTATTCGGATATCGTTTTCCCGTCACCGTCTTCTCAGATTCGGGGCATCTCCGTATGCACTTGCATGCTTGTCTTATTCATCCACCAAAAAGGTCAAGCCCAGAAGCGAAACTAGCTTCTTTCTGCCTGCTATGTTCTCAAGCTGCGATTTAAGATACCGAAGATTGCAGTTTTGTCTGATTCGCTCACCATGGCAGAGCGCCAGCTGAATGTCGCAGGTCAGCATGATGATGCATGCGTCTGAACTCATACCCAAGTGAATGATCAATGCTCTCATTTTGGTGTCCGCTGTGGCTGAGCACGCTGCACTCTGCACATTTTCTGAGCTTCCTCACTCTCTACCCGGCATCAGCAGTGGACGTGGTTGGCCATGGAGGCGACAGAAAACTTTGTTCAGTCGTATGGGCGTTTATTCACCTAACACCACACCACAGGTGAGATCGAGCAACAGATGATCAATGCTGCCTCGCCTGTCTCGATCAGACATCAGCACGCGTCATTGGAGACAGCTAGCTCAGACGCATCGGGGATAAATAAAGCATTCCGCCATTTGCGTGTACTATACACCGCCCTCCATGAGATGAAAAAATCATCCCAAACTATGCCAGTGGTGGATCAATGCCTTCCATTACCGCCATATTCGGGTCGCTCAAGGATATGAACGATGACGACGTCACGTTATGTTCATACGTCTTATGAACAGATCAACAACTGAGCTTCTGATAATCCATCACACACGCCACTAAAAGAAAGGCGCAGGGCATCCACTAGTAGTAGCCCCGCCTGGGGTACTGTTGGTAGCCGAAGCCAGCCGGCCGCTGGTAACCACCGAAGCCGCCGCCAAACGACTGCTGGTTGGAGACGGCGTTGGTGTTGGAGAACTGCTGGTTTCCGAACAGTCCCGACGAGCCGAAGTTAGTGGCGCTGGCTGAGTTGGTGCTCCGGGCATTGCCTCGCGCTGAGCCCTGAAACGACACATCGCCGTTATTAATATGAACGAATGTGATTGTCACGCAGAATGAAACACAGTGGTTCTTGCCTCTCGGTATGCCAGGTGGAATCATAGAAAAAGAACAGCACAGAAGTATTGTGTTCTTTGTCCACGCTATGCAATAGGTATATAAAAGTATATATATATGGATGGTTACATGTAATTTGGGCAATTGATGAAGTCAAGGTAATGTTCAGCCTGCAGCCTTTTAACAGTATTAGTCCACAATTTGTATCCAAGCAATCTCTACCTATCTGCACTTACCGAGGCGGTGGCGCTGACTTGTGTGATCCGGGAGTTCTGGAAGGGACCACCGCTGACCCCGGACACCACATTGCCAGCAGCATTTCCGGTCGCCTGACCTCCCTGGCCAAACAGACCACCTGAGTAGAAGCCCCGTGGCAGCGCAGCGGCACCAGCAACCAGGCAGAGCACAATGGCAAAGGTCTTCATGTTGATGCTTGGATAGCTGTAAACATGATAAGGTCATTTTGATGGCTGGAGAGCTGTAGACCTGATAAGGTCATTTAGATGGCTGGCGAGCTGTAAACATGATGAGGTTTACTAAAAGCTTGCATGTGGAGCACGTGCGTTAGGGTGCTCGTTTGGCAAAAATCGCCTGCTTGTCACCAAATGCGTGTGCCGCAGGATAAACAACGCCTGAAGGATATGGTGTCTGATCAAGTCTGTTACGTTTCAGCAGAATGACAGCATAAGCTCCGGGAGCGGCTCTAAACACTGCCAATGCTCAAGATGGCTCCCGCATTTGAAAGTCACGTCGAGCTTTGAAGAACTCACCGTGAGGAGGTAGCTTCGCAGGCCAGGAGAGCTGGAAAGTGTCTGATGCTGCTCCCTCCCCATCCTGACTTATATGCCAGGATCCTGATTCGGCCAAGTCCCACTGAGTGGGTGTGAAGACGGGATTCCCTGGCCGGAGCGTGCCTCGGGCCATCAAGTGGAAGACGGGTGCGCCGGCCGGCGGTAGCCGTTAGAGGTGCGCATGGTCCATGCGCACTGCTCACAGCGTACCCCACGAAGCGGAAACGGAGCCATTTTACATTCAGAAGAATTTTCACATTCTTTAACTAATGTTTAGTTCTATTTGAAATAGCTCACGATCAAATGACAAGTCACGTCAACTGACCGACGCGTCAGATGTACTCGCAGTGTAGTACCACAACAGCGAAATACCGCTCCTATACACGCACTCAGCGCGCAGGAACTGCAGCGCAGCAGCATTCTTGCGCACGCAAGCGCAGTCAGAAGTCAACATGAAAAACGAAGTGAAGAAGGACGGCCCTCCTCCATTATGTTCCCCCATTCCACTGCCGTTTCTCACTAAGCATGCATGCGCATTGCCTGGCCCTGTTTTAATCCCAGTGTGGTCCCTTACGCGACACGCTGTAAAACGTTGTTTTCCGCTTACACTACCCCTTTTGCTCGGTGACAATCACCTTATCCTTTTCAACAAACAACTCATGTCCTCAAATAAACAGACATATTCTACTCTTTGTAGACCTCTAGGCGCCGTCAACCCATTCCTGGCGTAATTTATGTTTGATCAAATCGTCACAAAACCATTGTGTTTTGCGACCGATCATCACCCGACCCACAAATCCGATTCACAAAACAAAGCATTTCCGTTTCCAAAAACTTGGGAGTCAGGGTGAATTTGATGCAAAACCCGCGAATGCTACAATGTTTATCATGGATATTCCGACGGCAGTATTTTAAATGAAAACAAAATGGGTTTGGGCGATAGCCGATGGAGCTTAGGAAGCAGAGCAAGTGTGATCAGCGAAAGTCAAGAATCACAAAAGGAAGGTATTAAGAAATGGCACTGTGACTGTGCAATAAAAAGGATAGCTAGAGTCCAGGGTATTAGAGAGGAGGGTCTACAGAGTAATTTATCAAAATGAACTTTGGGGTGATGCGCATTATGCTTTCCTGATTCATCTGGCACGCTTTTCTTTGCCACGATGCTTTCTTCGGCCGCCAAAATTTTGAGAGTGTGGGTCTGAGTAGGGGGTTAATGAAAGTCGGACATCACACACGTAGTGGTATGGAGACGGTATAAAAGCGGCGATATCTTCGCACATGTGGCACGGGTGATTTGAAAACATCTTTTTGGTGTCCGTGTTTTCCGCTCATCTTGGGAAAAATACAATCAGAAGCACTTTGTTATCACTAAGAGTCGAGGTCCACCAATTCGAGGACAAGCGGTGCATCTAACAATGTAACCATAAGCCACGTGAATAGATTAAGTGAATGGTAATAAATGCGCCAAAATAAAACTGAGCAGTGCGGCGCAATCTGCACCGATAGCCAAAGGTGTGGTATCACCACATAGCCTGCAAGGCTGCTGCATAACCGAAGCCCTAGAGACGCTGCAAGCGCACGGAAACAGCGACGCAGCAGCATTAACACGCGCTGGGGGGAAATTTGGGCCCCCGGCTGCTTCTCAAAACTAAGTTCCGAATGATGCAGCATGGTCACGCCAAATTTTGCAGTACTGTAGCCAATTAAATAACCAATCGTGTGATGTAGAAAGTTAGATGTGCCTTGCAAGTTCGCTGACCTATGGCGGATTAAAGTCAGGTCACGGCTCTAAAGGACGGCAATGCCTAGAGAAATCGTTCAATCGGATACGACAGCAGGGTCTTTGTGGAAGTCATACATCTTTGAGGTGGTTTCTCTGAATATCAGACAATGAAATTAAAAATCGCGGGTTATTCCATTGATCTCGAACAAGGTATGAAGGCCAGGTCGAGTTTAAAATTGCATTTCCGTCAAAACCTTACCATTTCGGGTAGTTTCTGACGCTCACTTTGATTTATGGATCACAGGGAGGTCAGAAACTGTGCTTTTGAACTTCATACAGATCATAGGTGGTCACTGGCCTAGAATGACCCCAATAAATCCTTTGTTTCTAACAGCATACCGTCTGGCCCAATCCTAGACGTTTAGTGAAGTTAAAAATATAAACAATCTCACAGTTTTTGGTCAAATAAGGTCACTAACATCAAATGCATTCCAGTAATTTTTGATGAGTACAGGTATCTAGGCTAAAGGTAAATGCATGAGGAGCTCTGAGGAAAGCTTGGCCACCAACCTGAAGTTTGAGCTTGTTAACATATGGGCACTTGTAATAACCTTCCACGAAATATTTCATCACGACAGTTCACGCCATACTACACTATCACTGGCCGCGAGTCCATGAGTGCATAACATCTAGGCTCGAAACCAATGGTCACCATTATGCCCTCGGTCACCGAAATGAATGGCGATACGGATGAGCCATGCGCATCTCTAGTCCGAACGACTGGCCGCACCGGGCGTCTTCCGCCAAAAGCCAGCGGCGTACCCTGGCTAGGGAATCCCACGTACACGCCCATTCAGTGGGACCACCCCCCCCCCCCCAACCCGTTTCGTCGCATATAAGCTAGGTAAGCGTCTGAACAACTTCAAAAGCTATTCAGCTCTCCCGCCGAGCACACTAATTCCTCACGGTTAGTGACCAGAACTCGATGAGCTCCCTTTAATGCTTATGACGTAAGCCAATATGCTTCCCGCGATTTTCAATGTAACCGCTACTGCCTTAAGGGCATGTGGCGTTAGTCGTAAGCAGACGCAATCCTAGCAATGATCAAATTACTTTCATAGGTACCATGTATTCTGTTCGGTATTTACATGATGTTTTACCAATTGTTGCTGAATTGATTTGCAAAAATATGTGTGCGAGTTTCCTCATCTTATGATCCGCCGCCACGTTTCCAGCTCCCTCCAACAATGAAGACCGTCGCCATCTTGTTCTGCGTGGTAGCTGTCGCCGCTGCGTTGCCACAGGGCTTCTTCACAGGTGGTTTGTTCAGTCAGAACGGCCAAGCGACCGGAAGTGCCGCCGGCAATGTGGTGTCCGGGGTCAGCGGCGGTCCCTTCCAGAACTCTAGGATCACGCAAGTCAGCGCCACAGCCTCGGAAAGTGTACCTGCTACCGGATAAACCGCAAAAAATACTGAAAGTTAGTCCCAGTAAACTGGGAAAGCACGGAAATTTTGGTATCATGTTTTTGAAGCAGTTTTGGACGCTATACTACTGCTTGAGCCTCAGAATGCTTACGATGAAATTGCACAATCCAAGAATCACAGTGTCCGAATGGACATATTTATCATCACCTCCATTGGTATATGCCAGTTGTATCTTACATCAAATTCACCCGTTCTTTCAGGGTTCAGCTAGTGACCACGCCGCAAGCTCCAATGTCGCCAGCGCCTCCAACGTCGCTTCCTCGGGGCTGTTTGGCAACCAGGAGTTTTCAAACACCAACGCCGTCTCCAACCAGCAGACGTTCGGTGGTGGACTTAGCGGAAGTTACCAGCGGCCGATCGGTCAATTCCGGCGGCAGTACCGCAAGCCGAACTTCTACTAGTCATGATCTAGCTTGGCCTAGTGTTCGGGAAGTCGCCAGGATATATGTTTCTCGCGTACATAATGTATCGACATTCGCATAGTGACTAGATTCATGCCCATGGTTGTGTTTCACCTTCATGAAATGAAATAACACAATATTTAACTGCTGCCTTCTGAAACCATGCATTTCTGGTGTCAGCTATGAGCGCTGAAGTCGCTTCTTACACATGCAGCTGAAATGCAAGAAACGCACACGAAAGGTTCTTAGATTCGCCATTAGCACAAAGAAGTTGAGCAGAGCAATGTGCATCAACGTTCGCTGACATTTTCTGAGCCCCGATATGTTAAGATACGAACCACTATGCATCTGTCATAACTGGATAGCTATAAAAAGGAAGATAACATTTTTACCACCCGCCTAGTAAAACAGTTTCAGGATCCGTGGATAAGCTAGACGTTTAGTTCATTTAGGTAGGTAGTTTACAGCTGATCTCGTTTAGACTCGTAAACAGTTCACATTTAGTAACATCATTGCATCTATACAATTTTGTCCTGTCTTCTTTATGTTGTCTGGAACGTTTCTCGTCGATATGGCATTCAAGTTGTACCTTATTTCCATTGCCAGGTGCAAAGACCATGAGAGAAAAACAATTGGCATAAAACAACCTATCTGATGCATTTGGACCAAATTGATTCGGCCAGGTCCAGCACGCTTTTCACACATACATACATACACACATACTTTTCAAGTCTACCACACACGTAAGGGAAAGTAAGTTTCTACTTGCACGGTTGTCAACTCTTTCCTAATTTCAAACTGACGAAAACGAAAGACGTTGTCGTATCCGTGGCCTATATAGCGTTAGTCATCAACGACTTACCACAAAAGTGATCAACTAAGTGAGCTCACGTCCCAGGAAATAGGTTTTTAAAATTTTTGGCCTTCTAAGGACAGTCAAATGCAGGCTGGTCACGGAAGGATCAGGCTGGTATCGGCCAAGTCATGATATGACGTTGCAAGGTAAAGTTGGGTCGCAAAATGATCCCTTGAACTGCTTAAATAAAAATTACTCCACTGGATTCGTCAGGATCTTTGCAGCAAAATTTGCTTGGCACGGACTTAAGTGATATCTACAAAACATTTGATACAATGCTCATAAAGATGTCAGCACAACCATCACCTCTCCCTTCCAAGACTCAGCACGCTAGAGCCACAGGGTGGTGGCATTTGACAGCCCTCGTAAAGCCGCACCAGAAAGATATGACCTAAACGATAATGAATGCGATATTTGACCGGCCATATGAGGCCACGACTTTCAATTAGCTCTTTGTAGAGTCCGCATGTCATCTCAAAGCGGAATGCATCTTGGAAAACTCCTCGACTTTTCACTGTCTCCAGCTGACACTAGAAATCTATGACTTCAAAAGGCTTCCTTTAAGTACTGTATATATTTCATTTCATGACGATGAATCACAACCATGATCATGAGGCTAGCCACAATGCGAATGACGATGCATCGTGTACGCAAAGAACAGATGCT